TCCAGCCTGGGTGACAGAGTGAGACTCTGTCTCTAAAAAGAAGGATGTTCTGGGAATTTCAGGGGAGGCCATTAAAGGGAAAGTGGCATGCAGAACGAGGGAGGGAGGCTTGGTTGTAGATGTTACCTGTCTCACCATATTTTTTTCTCCTGCAGCCAAGCCTGGAACCCCAGTTGCTTTATCTGGAAACTTGATCCTAGGTGAAGCTTCTGCAGTCCCCATCTTCTAGCTGGATCCTGCTCCCTCACCCCTATCTGCTGGCTGGGACCTCACTTGTTAGGAAATGTAAGTTTGCCACAAATAGTCTGCTGTGCAGCTGTCCTGTGGCTGCACCCCTTCCCACCACATGGGACCCTTGACGCCAATGCTGGATTCAATCACAGAGGAAATTATTATGCTATGCTACTGCAGACCAGGGGCTTCTCTATGGGGTCAAGTTCTGTTAGCTTAGTTCCTGCAGGAACAGACATTGTACAGGCCTAACACCTGGGCCTGCAGAGAAATGCTCCTGGTAAACAGACCTAAGCTTCATCCAGTCTCAGAGCAAACACTCAGGAATAATTGAGCTGTCTACATCAGTGGCTGGTCCATGGTGAGCAGACTGGTGGGTAGTTAGAGGAACCTCTACGGTCAAGGAGAAGGGAACTTAAGAAGCTCTACCTCTGTCTACCAGCCTGCCAGCGTGCTGCCTTGTGTGACTATCTCCATGAATGTCCATATCCTCTGCCATTAAAAAAAGCTTTATACTTTCAAATCGTGTTGTCAAGTTTTGGTCATTCACATCACCATTCTGTCTTCCATGTCATTCTAAAATCCTGGTTTAATTCCTCTTCTCTCCCAGTTAGTCCCCACTAGATTCTCAGGTTGCTGAGACTGTACAGATTGATGTGATGGCGAGTGCCGCAGGCTAGCCCCTAAAGGCTATCTCGTTTATTATGGAGCAGGACCATAGGCCCATATTCATGATACTACAGTATCAAACCACTAAATCTCCCCACTGCTCCTGGAGGAAGATGTGCTCAGTCAAGGGGTTGGGAACATAAGACCCCTGCACCCAGGGGTATGGTTATAGTGTGAGGAATGGCTATAGCGTGAGGAATGGCTATAACGTGAGGAGCGGCTATTGGGGCGACCGGTTGGCCTTCTCCTCAGGCATCTGTCTCGAAGGCCCAGAGCAGAAGTCTTGGAACGCCTGGAGCAGAAGAGTGCTCTGTACTAGCTGAGAAGCCACTTTCTCCCGGAAGCCTCCAAACCATTCTTTCCTTCCCTGCTTACAGCTCTTGTCACTCCGTATTGCAATTGCTTTGTTTAGTTGTCTTTATTCCCCACTAAACTCTGAGCTTCATGAAAGCAGCAACTGTGAATCTTTTTCACTATTGCATTTCCAGCACATAGCACAGTGCATGGTATCTAGTGTTTGTTGAATGAATGAATGAGAGCCAAGAATGCTCCTTCTGCAGGAATCCCAACACCCTTGCCTGTGGAGCTGCTATTAACAAGACTGGCTTCTATGGAGTGGCTGGTAGGAAGCTGGGGGCTTCCCTCGGAGCTCCTCCCAGGTGTCTAAGGGCTTCTGCAGTGTGAGGCTCCAACAGGAGTGCCCCCACATGTTTTCAAGTCATTTTTAAGGGAGGGTCCAAAGTCTAGCATTTTGTCCACTGGAAAATACTTATAACCATTATTGCTGGTGATTATTCCATTATTCTAGGAGATGCACAAGGAATTGCATTTTTCAGTTTCTATACACAGGTACTAACATTTCCTCCCTGTGAAACTGCCTTTGCAGAATTATAACTGAGGAAATTATGACAGTGAAATCAGACCTAACCAACTCCATCTTGCTTGTAACCTTTAAGCTGTGCTTGTTCATTCCCGGGCATAGGTCAGACTCACTTTGGGAAGGAATTCAGCTTGTGGTTTGACTCTGAAACAAAATTGATAACAGCCCTTTCCCGAAAAGACCCCCTTCGTGCCTGGGGACCAGTCTGCCTTCGTAGGACTAACAAACTAGCTACAAGATTAGAAATTACAATTTAGGGCCAGGCGCAGTGGCTCATGCCTGTAAACACTTTTGGGAAATGTTTCCCAAAGTGAAAGTTGGTGAAACCCCATTTCTACTAAAAATACAAAAAATTAGTCTGGCGTAGTGGTGTGCACCTGTAATCCCAGCTACTTGGAAGGCTGAGGCAGGAGAGTCCCTTGAACCCGGGAGGCGGAGGTTGCAGTGAGCTGAGACTGTCTCTTATACACATCTAGATGTGTATAAGAGACAGGTGAGCCGAGATCGCGCCACTGCACTCCAGCCTGGGCGACAGAGCGAGACTCCGTCTCAAAAAAACAAACAAACAAACAAACAAACAAAAACTCCTGTCTCCCGCACAGCTGGCTCTGCGTGAATTACTCTTTCTCCATTGCAAGATCCCTGTGTTGATAAATCAGTTCTGTCTAGGCAGGAGGCAAGGTGAACCCATTGGGCGGTTACACTTGCTTGGATTCAGGAGGGTCCAAAGTCCAGCATTTTGCCCACTTGAAATTACTCATAATCATTATTGTTGGTAGTTATTCCATTATTCTAGGAGACACACAAGGAATTGCATTTTTCAGTTTCTATGTAACGGGTCTAATGTTTCCTCCTTGCCTTAATTCAGTACTGGATAGCTCACCAACAAAGACTGGTTTCTTTAGGAAGTCTGTGCACAAGGTCTAAAGATAAGATCTAAAGAAAGGCAATTGTGATTTCAACTGGCTTATCACACAGCCAGGCCGGCTAATGGAAAACAAATCCAAGTATCTAAGGAGAGATAAGCAGAAATGCTATAGACAAGCAATTCAATGGGAATGGGGAAGTAATACTTCTACATGCTGAGTCAAATGAAAAAAGTGATCCTTGGCATGTTGTTTAACTGGCACTTTTTAAGGTTTCTTTTCAAAATGTCATGAAACATTATATGTTTTTGTTTTTATTATAAAAAAATTTTAACACAGTAATATATGCTTAGAAAAATTCAGGGTATGTTAACTGTAAAGTATAAAGTAAAGCTTGCTTTTCATATCCTCCTCTATTCGTAAACACCAATACCACTTCCTCCTTCAAAAGTTTGTAGTTATGGCTCATGCCTGTAATCCCAGCACTTTGGGAGGCCGAGGCAGGTGGATCACAAGGTCAAGAGATGGAGACCATCCTGGTCAACATGGCAAAACCCTGTCTCTACTAAAAATACAAAAAAAATTAGCTGGGTGTGATGGTGCGCACCTGTAGTCCCAGCTACTCAGAGGCTGAGGCAGGAGAATTGCTTGAACCTTGGAGGTGGAGGTTGCCACTGCATTCCAGCCTGGCAACAGAGCGAGACTCAAAACAAAACAACAACAACAAACAAACAAACAACAGTTTGTAGTTTAGGCCAGGTGTTGTGGTTCATGCCTATAATACTAGCACTTTGGTAGGCCAAGGTGGGAGGATTGCTTGAATCCAGGAGTTCAAGACCAGCCTGGGCAACACAGTAAAAACACATCTCTACAAAAAGAAAAAAATTTACATTTAAATAATAAATAAATAAATAAATAAATAAAGTTTGTAGTTTAGTGCATTTTCTCTCCACTCTGTCAGTCAGGGTGGAGTGCAGTGGTGTGACCATGGCTCACTGCAGCCTTGACCTCCTTGGCTAGGTTCAGGTAATCCTCCCACCTCAGCCTCTCCAATAGCTGGGACTACAGGCACACACCATCACACCTGGCTAATTTTTGTATTTTTTGTGGAGATAGGGTTTCGCCATATTGCCCAGGATGGTCTTGAACTCCTGGGCTCAAGCGATCCACCTGCCTCAGCCTGCCAAAGTGCTGGGTTTACAGGAGTGAGCCTCTGTGCCTGGCGCATGCATTCTCTCAAGACCTTTCCTAGGCTACTCTCCTCTGCTGCAATCTATACATGTGCCAGCTTAAGCAGATGTTGAAGAGGAGGAAGCAAAATGACAATCATTAAAAAAAATTCTTATTGTGTACCCTCCCACTTCAAAGTTTGGCCTAATTGTAAATGAACAATTTAGGACTAGAAAAAAGTGAGTTTGTTTTGTACCAGTGGCATGTACTCCTGTTAACAATACAAAAGCAACCAAATACAGCACAAGCAATTCTCAAGATATGAACATCGAACTTATGGGAATGGTGACACCAGATACCAAAATGGTGATACCAGAATTTTGGCAGTTTTAGGGCACATCTTGGATGATAGAACAATACTTACTCCTATAGTAACCGCTCTACCTTTCTTCCTCACCTCCACCAGGAGGGTGCACCACTGTTAACTGAAAACCACTGGCCGGGCGCAGTGCCTCGTGTGTAATCCAGCATTTTGGGAGGTGGAGGTGGGTGGATCACTTGAGGTCAGGGGTTCAAGACCAGCCTGGCCAACATGGTGAAACCCCATCTCTACTAAAATACAAAAATTAGCCGGGCGTGGTGGCATGCACCTGTAATCCCAGCTACTCAGGAGGCTGAGGCAGGAGAATTGCTTGAACCTGGGAGGCGGAGGTTGCAGTGAGGCGAGATCACGCCACTGTACTCCAGTCTGGGTGACAGAGCAAGACTCCGTCTCAAAAATAAAGAAAACCATTGCTAGCCCCTCACCCATCACACAACGCATGTCCATGGGGAGCCTGGTGCTAAACCATTTGGAGATGACCTACTTCTGGGTCAGGGTTTCGGACACAGCAGAGAGCTCCCTCGCTGCTATCTATTGAAAGTCAGCCCTCAACACAAGGGTTTGTTTAAAAAAAAAAAAAAAAGAAAGAAAACCATTGATATGAGTCAGGGTTTTTATTAATAGTAGAATTTCCTGGGTCCAACTGTACTGCTCACTAATCACCTACTAATAGCAACCTTGAATGCCCTTACTATGCAAAGAATGAAGATGGTGACTGGAGCCAGGGAGATGTTTATCCTTCCTGGCCTAGGAGGACACTTCAAGGGGTCCAATGGCGTTAAAAGATTGCTTAAGTGGGTACCTTGTTTCTCAGGGATGGGTCTGCCCCTGCTTCTAGGAGCAGCGCAACTGTTTTAATGTTCCCGCTGAGCACTGCTGCATGGAGCGCTGATGTCCCGTTCTAAGAGAAAATGACAGTGTGTGTCAGGAGTGAGCTCACAGCCATTGGCATTCAGCATGTCTTTCATCATAAACCATCTGGGTGATAAGACTGTAACCTCATACCCTCAAGCTTCCTTATCTTGCCTTGTACTTTTCAAAGTCACATCAGCCCCTAGTATAGCGTCCTTGGATACACAACTGATGGTCAGTACAAATATTGCTAATGTTCTCTTCCAAGTGAAATAAGGAATCGGGCTGAGGGGGCACATGACTTCATGGTCACTCTGTTTTACACACTTTGGAACTTGTTGCAGAAGAAACAACAACATCGTGCCCAACATTTTTGTTCTTCAAGGACAACACATACAGTCTTTGTAGTTTTGCTGAGCCACTTCCAGCAAGGCTAGAGGAACAGCTGTTTAGCCAACGGGCTGACCTGTCAGCCCAGCTGCAGATACTCTGAGCACTCAGGTGGGCAGGACTGTGATTGTGGAGCTACAGGGCTTAAGAGGAAGAGTATGTGGGGTGAGGCAATGCCCCAGAGCTTTGAGTTGGAGCATTTTTGAGCACAGAAGGGCCTCACAGATGAGCTGTTAATGTTTTATGACATTTATTGCAAATATTTATCAAAATAAGAAACCAGCTAAATGCAGCATGTAGCTGGACCAGGGAGAGGAGGGGAGGAGACTATAACAAAACTAGTAACAGTGGGCAGCCATAAGACATGGTTCTAGAGGGTACATATGTCTATAAATAGTACCTAAATGCAAACTTAGTTTCCTAATTAATTACTCATAATAGAAACCACTCTGATTTTGTAAAAAAGTAAAATATCATACCCAGAGAAAAATTCCAGCAAAGTAGCATTTTTCTGTGGTTGCTTTTAAATACGTATGATAATTCACTACTCTTGTAACAATGTACTTGTCTAAATCTTAGCCAATCTATCAACCTCACCTGTGTGCAACATGGGTCAGAATTTTTTTTTTTTGGAGACAGGGTCTCACTCTGTCTCCCAGGCTGGAGTGCAATGGCGCAATCTCAGCTTCCTGCAACCTCCGTCTCCAGGGCTCAAACGATTCTCGTGCCTCAGCCTCCTGAGTAGCTGGGACTACAGGTGCGTAACAGCCGCCCTGCTAATTTTTGTATTTTTTGTAGAGACAGGGTTTCGCCATGTTGCCTGGGCTGGTCTCCGACTCCTGAGCTCAGGTGTTTTGCCTGCCTCGGCCTCCCAAAGTGCTGGGATCACAGGTGTGAGCCACCATGCCTGACCAGGAGTTTTTAAAAAGCCAAAGAAGAGCTATTTGAAACAAGACTAGATTTTGCAAAGTTCAAGCTTTCTAAAGCTTGTTCCTTTTATTCACAGAATTGACTTTCATAGATGGTATTCTTACTTTACAAGGTTTTTTTTTTTTTTTTTTTTTGAGATGGAGTCTCGCTTTGTTACCCAGGCTGGAGTGCAGTGGCGTGATCGCAACTCACTGCAAGCTCCGCCTCCTAGGTTCATGGCATTCTCCTGCCTCAGCCTCCCAAGTAACTGGGACTACAGGTGCCCGCCACCACGCCTGGCTAAGTTTTTGTATTTTTAGTAGAGACGGGGTTTCACTGTGTTAGCCAGGATGGTCTCGATATCCTGACCTTGTGATCCACCTGCCTCTGCCTCCTAAAGTGCTGGGATTACAGGCGCGAGCTACTGCGCCCAGCTAATTTTTGTATTTTTGTAGAGACGGGGTTTCACCATGTCGGCCAGGTTGGTCTTGAACTCCTGACCTCAGGTGATCTACCCGCCTTGGCCTCCCAAAGTGCTGGGGTTACAAGCGTGAGCCACCGCGCCCGGCCTTTACAAACAATTTTAACAAGTGCAACTTTCTGGCTTCTGCTTTTTTTTTTTTTTTTTCCTAGAGATGGAGTTTCACTCTTGCCACCTGGGCTGGAGTGCAGTGGCACGATCTCAGCTCACTGCAACCTCCGCCTCCCGGGTTCAAGCAATTCTCCTGCCTCAAACTCCTGAGTAGCTGGGATTACAGGTGCACATCACCACACCTGGCTTATTTTTGTATTTTTTAGTAGAGACGAGGTTTCACCACATTGGTCAGCTAGTCTTGAACTCTTGACCCCAGGTGATTCACCTGCTTCAGCCTCCCAAAGAGCTAGGATTACAGGTGTGAGCCACCACACCAGACCAGGAGTTTTTTTAAAGCCAAAAAAGAGCTGTTTGAAACAAGACTAGATTTTGCAAAGTCCAAGGTTTCTAAAGCTTGTTCCTTTTGTTCATAGAATTCATTTTCATAGATGGTTTATTCTTACTTGACAAACAATTTTAACACGTGCCGCTTTCTGGCTTCTAAAACTCATGGCAGGCCAGGTGCAGTGATTCACACCTGTAATCTCAGCACTTTAGGAGGCTGAGGCAGGACGATGAGAGAATCACTTGAGCCCAGGAGTTCAAAGGTCAAGACCAGCCTGGGCAATATAGTGAGACCCTGTCTCCAAAAAAAAAAAGCTCATGGCAGATGAAGTAGCTTATGAGCTCATTAGCACAGGGGAGAGAGGCCAACACACTGACAACAGCAGTTCTGTATTAACTGTCAGCAAGAGTGGAATCTAAAAATATAAAGAGCAGACACAAAATATCCAAAAAGCGTCTCGGGTCATTCAAGGGCAAGTAGGTTTTATATACATTGATAGACCCTGAGAGGACAGCCCCAAAGCTAAGCCACTGTGTCAATTTAGAACAGATTTGGTGTCCTGTATTTAATAAAACAGGAGCATTATATCTCAGGGGTCAGCAAACCACAGCCTGCAAATCAAATCCTGCAAGCTAAGAACTGTTTCTACTTTTACAAATTTTTGCAGAGGCAGGGTTTCACTCTGTTGCCCTGGCAGAAGTGCAATGATACAATCATAGCTCACAGTAACCTTGAACTCCTGGGCTCAAGCAATCCTCCTGCCTCAGCTGGGACTACAGCCACACACCACTGCATCCATCTAATTTTTAAACGTGTTGTAGAGCTAGGGTCTCACTATATTGTCCAGGCTGGTCTCTAACTCCTGGCCTCAAGCAGTCCTCCTGCCTCAGCCTCCTAAAGTGCTGGATTATAGGGATAAATCACTGCGCCTAGCCTGTTTTTACATTTTTAAATGATTTTAAAAAGATTAAAAGAAGAAAAAATATTTCATAATATGTGAAAACATGAAATTCCATAAATACAATGTTCAAAAATAAAGTTTTACAGGAATTAAGTGTTTTTTTGAGACAGGGTCTCCTCTGTCGCCTAGGCTGGAGTGCAGTGGCTCAATCACAGCTTCGTTTCCCAGGCTCAAGCCATCCTCCCACCTCAGCCTCCCAAGTAGCTGCGACTACAGGTGCATGCCATCATGACCAGTTAATTTTAAAAACTTTTTTTTGTGGAGATGGAGTCTAGCTATGTTGCCAAGGCTGGTTTGGAACTCTTGGATTCAAGTGATCCACCCGCCTCAGCCTTCCAAAGTGCTGGGATTACAGGTATGAGCCACTGCACTGGCCCTTTTTGTTGTATTTTCTATGGTTACTTTTGGATTACCACAGCAGAGCTGGGGCAGTTGGGAGAGATTTGTATGGCCCACAAAGCCTAAAATATTTGCTATCTGGTGACAGTAATATTTACTAATATTTCAGTAAATATTATTAGACATAAATATTTACTCTATAGTATATATAGTATATATTTATATTATATAGTATATACTCTATATTATATAGTATGTATTTACAGTATATAGTATATATTGTATAGTATATACTATATATAATAAATATATGCCATATACTAATATGACTCCTGGCCGAGGCAGGAGGATTGCTTAAGACCGGGAGTTTGAGACCAACCTGGACAATATAGTGAGACCCCATCTCTACAACAAATTTAAAAATTAGATGGGTGCAGTGGTGTGTGGCTGTAGTCCCAGCTGAGGCAGGAGGATTACTGGAGGCAGGAATTCAAGATTACTGTGAGCTATGATTGCATCATTGTACTCAAGCTTGGGCAACAGAGTGAAACCCTATCTCTGAAAAAATTTAAATTTATACTATATATACTATATATAGTGTATAGTAAATACATTCTATAGTATATATTTGCTATAGTAATATTTATATATTAATATAGCTTTACTGTAGTAAATATATTAGTAATTAGTAATATTTATTACCATTTACTATTTAGTAATATTTGCTAAAATATTAGTAAGCATTACTATTAACGTAATAAATAACATAATACTTAATAATAAAATTAATATAACCAATAATATAATTAATATTATATTAGTAAATAGAAATACTAATATTTATTAAGCCTTTATAGAAAAAATTTGCTGACTCCTTATATATGCTATAGGTTATAAATATTTTAATCAAAAACGATCAAAATTTAGGCCAGCTGGGATGGCTCACGCCAGTAATCCCAGCACTTTGGGAGGCTGAGGCAAGTGGATCACTTGAGGTCAGGAGTTCGAGATCAGCCTGGTCGATATGGTGAAACTCCATCTCTACTAAAAATACAGAAAGCCGGGCGTCATGGTGGCACGCCTGCAATCCCAGCTACTTGGGAGGCTGCAGCAGGAGAAGCACTTGAACCTGGGAGGCAGAGGTTTCAGTGAGCCGAGATCGCACCATTGCACTCCAGCCTGGGCTACAAAGGGAGACTCCATCTCAAAAAGCAAAACAAAACAAAACAAAAAGAGCAAAACTTTAAAAAAAAAGAGGTTGGCTCTGTTTTTTGGGGGACCCAGGTCTCCAAACTGACATATTTTCTGAGGCTTCCAGGTGTTTGAGGCTTATTTTATTTCACTTAAGGGAACAAAACAGAGTGGTTCTTCGCTCACGAAAATGAAGAGAACGAACATAAGTGTCTGTTCTTCTTCCTTGATTTCACGAATCCTCCAAATGGTGTCAATATGGTATACTTTCCAATTTAGCTATTTCATTACTACTGTCGATTTTTTTTTTCTGGAAAACAAGGTAGTAACAGACTATGGTCCACACTTTCTACCACCTCCCCACTTCTGCCAGTGCCCCTGGGATCTCTAGCATCAAGAAGCTGCAGGTGTGTTCTTTCAAGAATCCAACTAGGCCGGGCGCAATGGCTCAAGCCTGTAATCCCAGCACTTTGGGAGGCCGAGACGGGCGGATCACGAGGTCAGGAGATCGAGACCATCCTGGCTAACACGGTGAAACCCCGTCTCTACTAAAAAATACAAAAAACTAGCCAGGCGAAGTGGTGGGCGCCTGTAGTCCCAGCTACTCGGGAGGCTGAGACAGGAGAATGGCTAAACCCGGGAGGCGGAGCTTGCAGTGAGCTGAGATCCGGCCACTGCACTCCAGCCTGGGTGACAGAGCGAGATTCCGTCTCAAAAAAAAAAAAAAAAAAAAGAATCCAACTAACCAGGCACCCAAGTTCAACACAGTCCCCAAGTGAGGACTTACATTCCAACCTCTCTCTTACAGATTAGTAAAATTTCTCTTTAGGTCTTACCTTCAAAATACCAAGAGTGGGTGAGAATTTAAGCAACTCTTCTATGACATCATTATACCCTTTGTTGGCTGCTTTCAATAATGCCGTTGTGCCATCCTTAACACAAAGAGGAAAATAAAAGTTGATTATTAACACATGTCTGTGTTGCTTGAGTGCTGTCAGTTGGGAACTGGAAAGTACCGTTGCCAGAAATGAATGAAATGTGTAAATGAAGCACAGATCAGCAATGTCTCTTAATCTAGGAGCACTTTAGAGAATATTAAGCAGTTAATTCTGCATGAAAGAGTATCAGATAAACAGTGACTTAGATTATGTTAGAACTCTGCCATTTGGGAATTCATACTCCTATAGTTCCTGAGAACACTGGGCAGGGACAAGGGGAATTTCAAGAGCATATTTTTAGGCCATGGATGCATCAAAGAGGCATTCTCTGCTGTTCATAACTTAGCAGAAATGGTTAACTGTCTTTAATAATTTAGATCACTGTTGAGCAGTATTTACTGTTTCTAAAAAAATTTATACAACCTTGCCCTAGTCTGCTCTAGGTATCCGCCTGTGTGTGGGCAGTGGGGGTTAGGGGCATGGGGGATAGATTAAAATCTGCTAAAAGGCCAGGTGCAGTGGCTCACGTCTGTAATTCTAGCACTTTGGAAGGCCAAGGCAGGAGGGTCACTTGAAACCCCATCTCTACCAAAAATACAATAGCCGGGTATGGTGGCCCGTGCCTGTAATCCCAGCTACTCAAGAGGCTGAGGCAGGAGAATCGCTTGGACCCAGAGGTGGAAGTTACAGTGAGTTGAGATAGTGCCACTGCACTCCAGCCCGGGTGACAGAGTGAGACTCTGTCTCAAAAAAAAAAAAAAAAAAAAAAAACTGCTAAAAAAGAATGAAAAGCCAAATTCAAAATTAATATTTAGCTTCTGTTATTATTTTCTGGCTCAAGAACACAGTTTCCAAATTCCTTTTTGTCCCGTTTTCACATATCAATCGCTGTGTTTGGAGGATTTAGCTCACAATTCTCCTGTAGCCAAGAAACTACTTCGGCCTGCCATTAGGGTTCATCTGTAATCAGAAAGAAGGAAGATGGAATTGGGGGGCGGGGGGGTTCTTTTCTGGCTTCAGAGATTGTGGGAAGAAGAAGAGTGGGAGAGAGGGCAGTGAAATGGTGGCGAAAGCATCTGGTGATTTCCCTTTTTTGGAGCTTAGACTTGGAGAGGAGAAGGTGGGTTATGTAAGCAAGGGTTATACAAAGGCTACAGCAAAACACAAAAAGCAAACAGCATAGGTGGTCAGGCTCTCTTCAAGCCTTCCTTGTGGGGAAAAGGGCCTGCTGTGGGGCACACAAAGGCAGTATTAGGTGACACCAGCAGAGGCCAGTGGAGACTGCGGGCCTACAGGGGACGGGGTGCAGGGGGGTCTGCAGCCCCAGGGAGCAGGGGCGAGAGGCAGGGCCTGCAGGAGGCGCAGCACCAGCCAGGGGATCCCCCTACCCCAGCCCCCAGGACAGCCGGGAGGCCCGGTCTCTACCACCCCCAGGCCTGAGGCTAAGATTCCACCCTCTCTAGTGCGTCCCAAGGTCATCTCGGGTGGAGCAGGAGAGAGACCGAGCAGCACCGAATCGGACCTTGACTTTGTTTTCCTGCTCAAGAGCAGGTGGAGGTTGGGAGGAAGCCCTGAGTCTGAGTGGGCTGCAGACTCAGTCAAGACCCGTTTTCTCCGCACAGGCGCGCTGGGAGGCTTCGCTCTGTGGCCGCGCGACCCGGGCACTCACGTTCCGCGCAGCGTCGCGCTCGGCTCCGCGCAGCAGCATCACCCGCACCACCTCGCTGTGGCCCATCTGGGACGCGATCCACAGGGGCGCTGTCCCGTCCTGCGGGAAGAGGAGGCGGCGGCCGCCGTGAGCGGGGCGCCCGGCCCTACCCGCTCACAGAATGTCTTTAACTCCAGGGGTCTGAAAGCGAAAAGGCACTCCCTGACCTCAGATCACACTCTCCAGCTGATCCACACCGCCCAGGAGGCACTAAGAAAGGAGGGGGTGCGTGTAGACCACGGACGCAGACGGCACATGGCTGAGCCTGGGCTACTTGAATAATTGCCAGTATTGAAATTTTGGCTTATAAAATCATCCATTTTGTGGCTGGATCTTTAACCAAAAAGTGTGGTACAGACTTTATGGAAGGATGCATGGGAACCTTGCTTTGAAGGCTTGGGGGAGCAGCTGAGCTGTATACATACACCACAGCAGAACCAAATTCCACAAACCCAGAGAGAAGCCGGTCTATTCCCCCCAGACTGTCCATTTCTTTGCTTTCCCAGTGGGTCACACCTTAATGTTCACACAATACACACCCTTCATTCCTATAGAAAAGCAGGCAGTTTCCTTTGAGGTGGGATCTGCAGGTCAGAGAACTCAAGTCATTTCTCCTACTCTTCTAGTCTGGTGTCCAGAACCCTGCACAGCCACCTCATTTCTTAGGGGGCTTAATTTTATGTGGAATGTGTTGTTGTGTCTTCTAGGAAGTGATGCACATAAACTAGTTACGGCAGAACAGCATTTTGGGGAACATTTCCTCCGCGTATATCTGGGAGTATTTCCCCAATATTGCTTTCTCTGTGCACACTAGGCCATGAGGTGGAGATATATTGCTCCAGAGGAGAAAAAAGTAAAACATGCAAGGGATGGAGAAGGACTTGACAGTACGGTAGTTCCCACCAGACGGGATGGAAACTGGGAAAGCCTTCCAATGTGTGAAGGAGCTAGAGAGGGAGGGGGAAGGCGGAGGTCAGATGAGAATGTCCACGTTTTCCTCCCCCTCTGCGTTGAATCTCGGGTCTGTTGTGGGGGAGAGGTAACCTAGGGGTGGTAGAAACACCAGGTCAGTTATGGGGAATTCCAGATGGGAAAGGATTTTCTCTTCTTGTGAGAAACCGGGAAAGTGACAAGCCCTTTAGAGAAGTTCTGCTCTCTGCTGGAGCCCGGGAGATAGGAGAGAAATGGCCATGGGAGTTTCAGAGTCAATGGTCCCCTAGTCCCCATGGCCCACATCCATCTAGCACCTAGGCATCCAGGGTCCCGTCTGCCTGTGGGAAATCAGAAGCGACAGAGAAACAGTGGGCTGCAGTGAGCCTGGGGTTGGGAAGATAAGGCCATAGCGCCCTGACTTCCTGAGTAGAGGCAATGGCCAGGCCAGCAGACAATGGCGAGACCAGCTGCATCCCTGGGGTGTACCAGTGCAGGATGCTTGTGGACCAGTGCAAGGGCCACGCATGAGTCTCCCCACGCCCATCTCAATGCCAGGATGACAGTCTGACTCTTAGGTCCCTTCAGAGAGAAGGGCAGGAGGTAGCAGGATCCAGAATTGGCTAAAGGTAACCTCTGATGTAATTATGGTAATGTGCCCCAAGAGACTGTTTTAGCCAGATAAGACTGAATTACCCATCAGGGGAAGGGCGGCTGATGAGCAAAATGATTCAGTTATAGAACATAAAGTTACATTTTCTGCTGCAATGTGTAATTTCAACCTTAGCCTACTAGCAGAAGTAGGTACAAGATTGTTGCCCATTGCTGAACCAGGAAAGGAGCGAGGATGAAGACATCTGAGCTGGGTGGGGGAAGCTGGTGACTTGGGAGCCCAGGAGGATGTGGGGGTGCTGAAGAGCAGTCACAGGATGTTGGGACCTGTCTTGGGAGAGACAGTGGAAGAGGTGCTGAAGCAAAGGACAGAGGGAAGCGGAAGACACTTTAACCTACTTCATAATTGTTCCAGGGTCCTCTTGGTGGAAATATTCTTGAACCTAAATATTATCATGAGCTATCTGTACTTTAATTTGTACTTTAGTTTAAAAGCACTTCCATATTCTTTGATTTTCCTAATTCAGGATTTAATTAATCATTCAAGAAATCAGTAACAATAATTATTATTCGAGACAGGACTCCGTTACCTAGACTGGAGTACAGTGATATGATCAAGGCTCACTGTAGTCTCAACATCCTGGGCTCAAATGATCCTCCTGTCTCAGCCTTCCTAGTAGGCTAGGTGCACCTACAGGTGTGCACCACCATGCCCAGCTATGTTTTTTTTTCTTTTTCCCTTTTTGTAGAGATGGGACCTTGCTTTGTTGCCTAGATTGTTCTTGAACTCTTGGCCTCCAGCGATCTTTCCACCAAAGTGCTGAGATTAGAGGTATGAGCCCAGCCTTCTAAGTCTCAAGCAGAGTGCTAAAAATAAGTCCTGGAGAAGAGACACGGAGGTTTCCATATGACTGCAGTGCCATCATAAAGTATGGACGGAAATGCACAAAATGAAACAGGAGGGAGGGCTGCTGCGTGGGGAATGTGGGCTCAGTGTCCTGGATAGAGTGCTATCTGAGCTGGGTCTTGAAGAAGGACCAGGATTTTGCTAGGTGGGACAGAGGGGAAGGGTCGTTTGAGGAAGAAGGAAAAGCAGCTACAGTCACGGTGGCTTGGACAGGCATGGCTCCTTCAGGCAGGGTGGGAAATCCAGCTGCTATAGCCAGAGCGGGCTGGGTGGGACCCTGGGAGGCAGGAGGGGATTGTGGGTCCAAGCCAGGGCTAATAATAAGGTGCTTCTCCCTCCGTGCCTGCTCTGGGTCTGTTTTGTTCTTTGTCGCTTTCTCCACCAGAGGGCGGGCAGGGAGAGGCAGCCAGCAAAAAATGGCAGCCAGCTGTCTATTCGATGTGCTTTTCAATGGCTTGGTCATTATTAGTAAACTTGTATTAACAACTGAAACTAACATATGGGAAAGTGCTAAGAGGTGCTATATTGTGAAAAATTATCTATCTATCTATCTATCTATCTATCTATCTATCTATCTATCTATCTATCTATCTATCATGCAGTCTTACTCTGTTGCCCAGGCTGGAGTGCAGTGGTGCCATCTCAGATCACTGCAACCTCTGCCACCCAGGTTCAAGAGATCCTCCTGCCTCAGCCTCCCGAGAGGCTGAGACTACAGGCATGCACTACCACACCCGGCTAATTTTTGTATTTTAAGTAGATATGGGGTTTCACCATGTTGGCCAGGCTGGTCTTAAACTCCTGACCTCAAGTGATCCACCCGCCTTGGTCTCCCACAGTGCTGGGATTACAGGCATGAGCTACTGTGCCTGGCCAAAAAATTATTATGATCAATTTAGAACATCAATGATAACACTCATCAAATATGTCATCTTAATTGGAATAGCATGGGAGGTGGAAAAAGCCATCAGTTCTTCCTGGCTATAAGACCTTAGGCAAATCACTCTCAGTCTGAGTGTCCTCTAATGAAACATTATTAGCTTCACAGAGATAAGTGAGAAAACATATAGAAAGGTGGTGAGCACGAGCACTGGCTCACAGATGCTCAGGAAATGTTAACTGCATCTGAGTAGTATTTATCATGAGAAACAATAAGCCCCTTAATTTGTACTTTTGTTCACAAAATACTTCCATATGCTTTTTGATTCTTCCATAGACTCTGTGAGATAACTGACTGTGAGCAGGTAGGAATGACTGGTAAAATGAGATTTGGGGGCCGCCTGTGTATTTCATTACTGGTAATTACATCTCCAAATCTGATTTTGGAACCCAGGGAGTTGCATGTGAGTTAGAGCATTATTGTCAAATCAGATTATTTATCAGCTGATTCTTTAGTTTACGAATTAGGAGAGGTTTTCCTCTTTTGTATACCTTAATTTCTGTTTTCTCTTATTTTTTCCTTCTGGTATAATGGTTAGAGCCTTCATTTTCATCATGAAAATGATGGGGTGCAGTGGCTCACACTTGTAATCCCAGCACTTTGTGGGGCCAAGGCGGGAGGATGGCTTGAGCCCAGGAGTTCGAGACCAGCCTCAGCAACACAGTGAGGCCCCCATCTCCATAAAAAAAGAACAATGATTTTTTATGTTTTTTAAATTAAAGATATAAAAATAATTTTGAAAATGATGAAAAGTAAGTCAATTTAGTTCCTTTTTGTAGGGCTTTGGAATGTATCAAAATGTGAAAAAACATTTAAAAATATTCAAATAGGTTTTTGAATACTTCCATATACTTTGATATTTTTAATACTTTGATATTAAATCAAATAAATCATTGTGAAGTTATAACCTCTACAGCACTTTTTTTAAAAAGGTAATGGTCAGGCATAGTGGTTCACACCTGTAATCCCAGCACTTTGAGAGGCTGAGGTGGGTGAATCGCTTGAGGCCTGGAGTTTGAGACTAGCCTGGCCAACATGGCAAAACCCCGTCTCTACTAAAAATATAGAAGCTAGCCGGGTGTGGTGGCACACGCCTGTAGTTCCCGCAACTCAGGATTCTGAGGCAGGAGAATCGCTTGAGCCTGGGAGGCGGAGGTTGCAGTGAGCCAAGATCATGCCTCTGCACTCCAGCCTGGGTGACAAAGCGAGACTCCATCTAAAAAATAAAAAAAATTAAAAAAAAAGTAATAGAACGTTTACCCTGAAGAAGGATGAGATTCATAGGTTATGATAGCTGTCTTTTACCATTTGTGTGTACATCAAGTAGAAAAGGATTTAGACCAATTTTTCAGACCAAGTGACAGAAAGAAGACAGATGGGTAAAAGCTACATGGAGACTTGGGGTCAATGTATAAAAGTTTAATGAGGGTTAGCTAAGACCAAAGAAACTGAGCAGATAGGAGTGAGTCCCCCAGGCCTAGAGGTGTTCAACAGTAGCTGATTATCATAGAAAGGATTCGAGTACCGATGGATGGATAAATAGAGTGAGTTTTGTAGTTTCCTCCAACTGTGTTATTCCCTCATTTGATTCGAGATCATTGTTACAGCCAGATCACAGCAGGAGATGGAGTATATGACACGACCTGTATTAGAGACTAACCGTGCATGGTC